TACACAGTATTAGTACAGGACAGAGGTCACTATTGTACCGGATGTGACATACACAGTATTAGTACAGGACAGAGGACACTATTGTACCGAATGTGACATACACAGTTCAAGTACAGGACAGAAGTTACTGTTGTACCGGATGTGATATACACAGTATTAGTACAGGACAGAGGTCACTATTGTACCGGATGTGACAAAGACAGTATTAGTACAGGACAGAGGTCACTGTTCTACCGGATGTGACATACACAGTATTAGTACAAGACAGAGGTTACTGTTGTACCGGATGTGACATACACAGTATTAGTACAGGACAGAGGTCACTGTTGTACCGGATGTGACATACACAGTATTAGTACAAGACAGAGGGTACTGTTGTACCGGATGTGACAAAGACAGTATTAGTACAGGACAGAGGTCACTGTTGTACCGGATGTGACATACACAGTATTAGTACAGGACAGAGGACATTATTGTACCGGATGTGACATACACAGTATTAGTACAGGACAGAGGTCACTGTTGTATCGGATGTGACAAAGACAGTATTAGTACAGGACAGAGGTCACTATTGTACCGGATGTGACATACACAGTATTAGTACAGGACAGAGGTCACTGTTGTACCGGATGTGACATACACGGTATTAGTACAAGACAGAGGTTACTGTTGTACCGGATGTGACAAAGACAGTATTAGTACAGGACAGAGGTCACTGTTGTACCGGATGTGACATACACAGTATTAGTACAGGACAGAGGACATTATTGTACCGGATGTGACATACACAGTATTAGTACAGGACAGAGGTCACTGTTGTACCGGATGTGACATACACGGTATTAGTACAGGACAGAGGTCACTATTGTACCGGATGTGACATACACAGTATTAGTACAGGACAGAGGTCACTGTTGTATCGGATGTGACAAAGACAGTATTAGTACAGGACAGAGGTCACTATTGTACCGGATGTGACATAAACAGTACTTGTACAGGACAGAGGACATTACTGTACCGGATGTGACACACACAGTATTAGTACAGGACAGAAGTCACTCTTGGACCGGATGTGACAAAGACAGTATTAGTACAGGACACTATTGCACCGGATGTGACATACACAGTATTAGTACAGGACAAACGTCACTGTTGTACCGGATGTGACATACACAGTATTAGTACAGGACAGAGGTCACTATTGTACCGGATGTGACATACACAGTATTAGTAAAGGACAGAAGTCACTGTTGTACCGGATGTGACATACACAGTATTAGTACAGAACAGAGGACACTCTTGTACCGCATGTGACAAGCACGGTATTAATACAGGACAGAAGTCACTATTATATTGGATATGAAAAACACGGTATTAGTTCAGGACAGAGTTCACTTTTGTACCGCATGTGACATACACAGTATTAGTACAGGACAGAGGTTACTGTTGTACCGGATGTGACATACACAGTATTGGTACAGGACGGAGGTCACTATTGTACCCGATGGACACAGTATTAGTACAGGACAGAGGTTACTGTTGTACCGGATGTGACATACACAGTATTAGTACAGGACAGAGGTTACTGTTGTACCGGATGTGACATACACAGTATTAGTACAGGACAGAGGTTACTGTTGTACCGGATGTGACATACACAGTACTAGTACAGGACAGAGGTTACTGTTGTACTGGATGTGACATACACAGTACTAGTACAGAACAAAGGACACTATTGTACCCGATGGACACAGTATTAGTTTAGGACAGAGGACACTATTGTACCGAATGTGACATACACAGTTTCAGTACAGGACAGAAGTTACTGTTGTACCGGATGTGATATACACAGTATCAGTACAGGGCAGAGGTTACTGTTGTACCGGATGTGACATATACAGTACTAGTACAGAACAAAGGACACTATTGTACCCGATGGACACAGTATCAGTACAGGACAGAGGACACTATTGTACCGAATGTGACATACACAGTTTCAGTACAGGACAGAAGTTACTGTTGTACCGGATGTGATATACACAGTATTAGCACAGGACAGAGGTTACTGTTGTACCGAATGTGACATACACAGTATTAGTACAGGACAGAGGTCACTATTGTTCCGGATGTGACATACACAGTATTAGTACAGGACAGAGGTCACTATTGTACCGGATGTGACAAACACGGTATTAGTACAGGACAGAGGTCACTATTGTATCGGATGTGACATATACAGTATTAGCAGCGGACAGAAGTCACTATTGTACCGGATGTGACATACACAGTATTAGCACCGGACAGAAGTCACTATTGTACCGGATGTGACAAACACGGTATTAGTACAGGACAAAAGTCACTATTGTATCGGATGTGACATATACAGTATTAGCAGCGGACAGAAGTCACTATTGTACCGGATGTGACAAACACAGTATTAGTACAGGACACTATTGTACCGGATGTGACATACACAGTATTTGTACAGGACAGAGGATTTTAGGCACTTTACATCACTGATAATTGATGTGCAGTTAAATTCATTGTTTTGGCTCTACTGTATCTTATTTAAATTTGTATCTTATCTTATTAATCTTTTAAGTGGTATTAATCATATATCTGTTGTTTATGTAGAAAAAAATATTGAGTAGAAAGATGTAGGATACATGAAGTATTATACGAAAGATTCACAGCAAGGCTTTCAGATCTAATCTAATTTTAACTCTAATCATGAGATAGTACAAAAGATGGGGATTGAAAATTATTCCTTTCCCGAATTAATGAATTAAGATTAAAACTGAAGTTTGGATGTGAGTTCCGTATCAGACTAATTCCCTTATAAAGACTATGATAATCTTAATATTTGTCTGAAAAGTTGTGGTTTCGATATCTGTCCTGATATATAAGATAAGACAATGCACGTTTAACTGTTCGTTTTCCCATCTCCGTTTGAGGTTAAACCTCATAAACGGTGGCCATAACATGGTTGTTATTGCGTGTGCTACATTTGCAATAAATCACCAACGTCCTGTACCGTCGAATAAAACCAATAAATAGCAAAACTTTATCATTAATAACGACAACAGTTTAATCCGAATTGATCAATTACTTTATTCATAACGATTCATGATTGATAAGGATTTATAAACATAATATTTAATTAATAAAAGAATTAATTATTGTAGGTATATCAATGTTTGTTTAATGTCCAAAGAATCGTGTTCAACATAAATCGTCTAAATTGTAAATGATAACGTGATGAATTCGTGATTATTGGCACTTTATCAGTATTGAACATATGTCGGATACATTTTCCAGCTCAACTTCCTTCATATCTATTTCAAAATCCTATCTATTATTAATGTTGTATTAAAATTTATGTCATGGATAATAGCCGATATTTGAACGCCACCCTATTCCTATTGATTTAGAATTTTTCAGATAAATATATATGTTTCTAACAACCGTTTATTCTGGAATTGACAATGTACCATAGAAACATCTGAAAATAGAACAAGGTTTATAGATGAGTGAAAATCACCTGAGCTCGCACGTGACAAAAAGAAACGACACCCGGGCTAATATAACAGGGTGCAATATGATAGACATGTATCATAAATGAAATGTGAAAATGATATGTGAAACTGGTTCCATGTACGCTGTCGTTAAGACACGTTTCTCCGATTCATTTCTAACTGACATTGATTCGGCATATACCTCTTACCAAAGCTCAATGGAAAGCAGCAAATAGCTATTCTTTTGCGTTGGGTTGCGTGTATTGCGTTAGTTCCAAATGTATATCTAGGTTAGGGTTGTTTTTTTTAATCCGGTCTGTGACAAACTCCAAAAATAATGTTTCTTGGAGATCCTTTTATGATCTTTGTTAAATTACACATAAAAAGATATCCATACCCAGCCGAAGATGAATGGACTTGACTACAAAGCATTAATATACGTAAAAATGCTTAAAATTACCAACACTCAATAACTGTTGCATAAAGTACCGGGTATGACATTTTTATAGTCAATACTTATCAATTCACTATATATATAATTTCTAAGACTATAACGTATATGCGTGAAAGATGAGTTGACTTCCGGAACACTATAAAACATAAACATACATAATAAATACTTTAAATTCATCAACATATCACTTTTATTCGTCTGGACAAATTGCAAAAAGTACCATATTTTTAGATTTCTTTTGTCAATAATTAATAGTTACAAAAAGCTGGAGTTTGTCATTTTGAATTGTATTTATGAATTTAGTTACAGTCCTGCATTAAACGCTTATCTTTAACGACAAGGGCTTGACGTGGTAATGACTATCTAAGATAATATTATCATATCATATCGCGTCAGTTAATTTTGATTTGCTTGCCTCCTATATTGGCCACCTGTTAGGTTTTCGTCAACATGTACATGCATTATTGATATATCACTGTCATCATAGTGATACGTAGCTAAGGTTACCTCAACACATCTCAAAAGGGCTTCTTTCGCTTTGTATCATGTTTTCCGTTATATGATAAAACGTAACATGATAGGACGACATTCACTTGTTAAAACAGAGACCTGCAAATTAATATGTCCGTAAATTCTAAATAATTATCAAATTGACGTATTGACAATTTCGAATATAGACAAATTTTTACTCGCTGCCGTTTGCGTTGCTGTCACGATGACACTAAGGCACGTGACAGGTTTTTAGCGATAAAGTAACGTCACAGGTGTAAAAATTGACTGTTGAACAACGTTTGCGGTGTACATTGAGGAAGGTCCAGTTTTATAGATACATGCATTTAGGATGAATTCAGGAATGTGAGAAACTTATTGAAACGTATAATGTGATTTTATGAAAATATGTTTACGATAAGACTGTTTTAGTTTGAAAGACCACTTAGGCAGAAGAACAAAAAAAGGTACGTTTTATTTATTTATTTTTTCGACTTTGTTATTCATTTCGATATGTAGTTTGCTAATTGAATATGACTAATTTAATCAAAATTACTATTACTGATATTTGTTATGATGTACTCTGCCTTTTCATCGTCAGAAGCAAATGTGGGTTTACCCTTGGCTGTCATTCCATCACGATTTCGTTTCTGATCATTGACTCTGTAACAGATACATTTGTGTGATAATAATGTCATGTAGATGACGCTCCTATCCGATTATTGTCAATTATTTGGTGATTTGACTCGAAACCTTTTCATAAGAAAACTTCACAAATGCGGCAAGATCAATATTGAAGAGCCATGATCAATTCCAGTAGGATTTCTGTTTAAATCTACGAATAGAATTTTAATTTTCACAAACAGGGCTAGCAGTAGTAAGAAATTGCCGGTATGAGCGCATTTTCAAATTAGGGTTGAAAACCAACCACTAACACATCTGACTCAACAAGCTCAAACAATGTTTAAACATGGTCTAAATGACTTAAGGAAAAATGACGTTTCTAAAAATGACTTTAAGAAAAAACATTCTATAATGTAACGAGCGGCCTCGCAAGCTCGACTATCTCCTTATTGCTGACCCATGAATTGAACGTCTCTGGATAACCCTTCCACTTGACCAGCGACCTCGTTTTACCCTTCTTGACGACTTTTTCTATCCTGTATACCTCTTGGCTCGTCTTCAGCAACTCGGGTTCGTAGAAGGTACCCCGAATTTCTTCTCCGTTTTGGTCGCTAATCTTATACGTTACAGGTGACGTGCGTCAGGCAGTAAATTTTTTCATGTGCTTCACATAAAATCCACACCGGTTTTCTAGATATACTCTTGTTGATATTGTTTTTGCTTTCACCTCAATTGTGCATACAGCATTTGCATCACTAGTAATAGGAACGGGTGACATATACATCATGTAGGCCGTTTTTGTTTTTACCTTAGTACCTTTACTAGCAGCCGCAAACTGACTTATCAGGGGCGCGTTTTCATACAACCCATCCCCCGTCTCAACGTCTACCATCACCAAATCACCAATAGGTGGTAGGTGGAAACTTCTAAATAATCCCCCACCTTTACATTTGGGATCGTTAATGTTATAAAAGGTAAAGTTTGATAAGTTGTCGTATTTGATGGGGTGATAGTTTCTGCTTGAGTGTGCAAATAAGTATATGGACCATAAATTCTCCACGAGTCAACTAAAACAGCATCCACATAACCTTTTGTTGCGGCGTGACCATCAGTCGAGGGTTGAGCCAAGGATAGGCCAGTTATTTCATGGCCTCCCATATGCAAAGATCCAGTCATAGTGTCTCCTCTCTTACTAACTCTAGCTACCTCACGAATGGACTTTGAAGTAACCATCCAATGTTTACCACTCCACGTAAATGTTCTCGATTCTCCACCAAAAACAATCAAAGATTGTAAAGTCCCAACAGATGTATCAGTGCTGTCATCCGGATTTACTATTCTATTCTCATTATCCCACATTGAACATTGATTACCGTATTTTTCGTGAATAACTAAGTATTCTTTACCGACGGTAGCTGTTGGCGGAAATTTTAGCACAACGTTTCCGCTGGTGGTATCTGCTAGAATAATATGATACGTATCATCCAGATTACACAAACCTGCTGTAACGAGGGTGGTTACGGGTGTAGGGTTAACAATTTGACCATCGACATAATTCTTAGTAGAGACGTCTTGCGCGTTCACGGGATCCGACACGTTCGTTAACGTATTTCCCGCCATATCGATGGAACCAGTTACGGTAGCCCCATTCTTTCGTAGAAAATTCTTATTGACGTACGACAGAGACACACCGGGTTCTGGTGGAGGGATGTTGTACTCTGACGTCATATATCCAAATTTGTGAACAGGCATTCTTTTTTATATGTATATTTTTATAAATTAATTTCTAATAGAAGTGAAATAATAGCTCCGGTAATTTTTGTTGTTGTTACATTGGTTACAAAGTTGAGCACATCACCTACATTTAAACTGATTCCTCTCACATCCGAAACGTGATTAAATTCTCCTTGTGGCTTTAAAATTTTACATTGAGTTTTACTACCATTAACCACGAGGACTACACCAGCCTCTTCGGGAGTGGATTCTGGTGTTGTAACCGACATACCTATTTTCAAAACTTTAGATGGTGCTAGCACGGTATAGCCAGCGTTTTTTCCTGTTGCACCATCACCGAACGAGTATTCGTACTTCCCTTTCACCAGTCCACCTTTTTCTTCAGCCCAGATAGTTTATATATTTTTTATTCATTTTTCTTTGTAATTTTTGTGTATTCATTAATAGCTGAGAATACTTGACTCTTAGATTCTGGATATCCCTCTCTAATTTAGTCACATCAGTTTTTCTTTGGAAATTCTTATTTACGTACGACAGAGACATACCGGGTTCTGGTGGTGGGATGTTGCACTCTGACGTCATATATCCAAATTTGTGAATAGGCATGTTTTTTTAATATATATATTATGTATTGCTTCAACCATGCACTTTCCTCGAGCCTGATGCCCCTGTGGATCTTTGTAATCTTCATTCCCAAGCCCTCGTATAGTTTGAGGTTCTCGTAGTGAATGACATAGTTAGTTTTGTCATTGAGATTGGGAATAAGCTTTTCCACATTATGGACTTTGAGACTTTCTGGAGCGAGCGGATAGTCATTGTGGAGATCATGCAGATCCTTTGGATATTCAAGGTCAACCTCCAGTATACAGCTGTGGTTCTTCCAAGAGTCCATTTCACTGTCTGTCATCCACTCGAATCCGTGTGTAGGGAGCGGTTTGCTCATGGCCCAACCATAGAGATTGTTGGCATCCAAATAGGCAATATACTTCGCAGGATCATGGGTGTTGAATGTTTCACCCATGTATGGGTTGTTTGCTTTGCCATATCTGTTGCTGATCATCGATATCCCGCCTCTGATACCTTTCTCCACCATGAGCAACATGTCTGGATCTGATAACAGCTCCAACTTCAATTCGGTGATTTTTAAGGCAGCGTCCCATGCTAGTCCAGGCGCTGTATAATACCAGGCAGGGTCAAGATCGTAGTTCTTGATGCAGACGTCTCTAAAGTTCTCAAAGACATCTGCCAAGAGCAACACGTCCGACTGGTTGTACAGTTCGTGGTAGTCCCTGAGGGACTTCATGCCAAACTCTTTCCACACAGTTTGTGCATGCTCATAGTCATCGTCACTAATCTCTTCTCCACTGAGTCTGGAGTAGAACGCTACTTTTCGTGGAAGGGCTGTTTCATTTAGTCTTTTGAGTGAATCCATATATTCATATGGGTAGACACCCTTTCTCATTAGTAAGTCTAGATGTTTTCCGTTATAGTACTTCGAAGTGTTAGTGAAGCAGTCCTGATCCAGATTACCGGACAGCTTATCCAGGCTAGAGGCCATGAACTTGAAGCTGTCGATGAATCTGAGTTGGTGCTTAACATCCTTCTCTTTCCCATCCTTGCCAGTATAAGAACCGACAACAACCTCCTTGGTGAAGCTGATGTACTTTTCCTCGTTGTTCGGGATGCAGTTGATGTTCCCCTCAGTTTTACCGAGGTTCTTGACGAACAGATGATTGTCATAGCCGCTCAGATTGTGGAACACCACAGGAGTGAACTTCGGCTTCTTGTACTGCAAGTTACAACTATTGTGAGCTGCACCTCGGTATTTCCCAGTAAAGTGACAGTGATCTCTCACCTTCTTGTCATCCTTACTGAACTCACCTTGGCAGATCCAGCACTTTGTCGCCTTTTGGAATTGTTTGCGGTCATTTTCCCCAAAAATCATTGGTTTCGCCGGAATTTTGCCAATTTCTTTGATGTCTTTCTCCAACATTTCTACGAATATTTGGGAGACATCTTCGTCGTCAGTTTTCGCGGTGTAGGTAACCGGATCTTTAGAGAAGACACCATCATCAAAGCATTTGACAAAAGCTCGATGGGGTGTGTTTCTGGTATTTCTTCGTGTAGCTCTTTCCCGGACACGGTTCACACGTATCTACGGGTTTGATGAAAGATTCAAAGTCAGCATACACTGTGAACGGCACTCTCATGGACTTGTGTATGTGCCCAAACGAAATGGTCGAGCCCTCTTCTGGCATCTCTATCTTGACGGCCTCGTTTGAATAACAGTATTCCATGTGCTTATTCAACGATTCCTGTGAGTAGAAGGGGTTCAAACATCTGAGACAGTAATATTTTTTGTGTTGATGGTTTCCGGTTTGGCTGGACAACAAACGGCTCATGTCTTTGATGACACAGTAATGCTGCTTTTCCCCATCAGAGATCAATAAAAGGTTTATTGTTACCCTATCAACGTGTTTGCTTATTCGGAGAGGGTAAACACTAGTGTCATAGCCAAAGACATTAATAGATATGTCTGGGATTTGCTTCTCGACATGATCTATTGTCTTAAGACTAACTGGGTAATCAATACCGTCCATGTTGAGTTTTTCTGCTTGCATTCTGAGCATCTTAGTTATGCGGCAAGCATCACGTTCTACGGAATGTAATGCTCGAGCCAGTGCCCAGAGGAAGCATCTGTTGTAATCATTTTTGACATTGATCACTCCCTTCTTAGGATGTGCAAGGGCCTCCGGAGTAGGGATGTAAGAGCTCCCCCTCAACGGTTCATAGGCAACTGTATGAATTTCAATGGCAATGATAGATTTAAATGTCCAGTTGCTGCCTCGCAACTGGAATGTCGCCATGGCCTCCATGACTCTATCTACCATTGCATCATACAGCTCATCTGCATCTGTTCCCTCGAGGTTAATCTCGACATTAGAGTGAAAGGCTGCAGGCTCTACGATTGTTTCCGAGGCACTAACAAGGTTCACTTTTTCCATGTTACATCTAAGAATTAGCTTTACCTTAGTGCCTCGGATTCCTCTCAAGAGGTTAACTACATTTTGTCGGGCTGTGTTGAGAAACGATTGAGCATCAAACCCCTCTCTGCCATCTATGGTATATTGAGTCGTAAATTTCCTCAGAGCAGATCTTGTCTCTCTGATTTCAAACATCTGCTGCTTTCTAAATAAAGCACGACACCTTTTCGAGGGTAATTTTCCCATCATCAACATTTGCATTCCTTTTTGTTTAACCTTGATCCCATCGTTGTCCGTTTTCCGCACCATCTAAGAAATTTTGATCAGGGGATTGTTTCATAAAGCCATACACAATTTTGTCATAGTCTTAGCGCAAAATCTTCTGAAAAGATGTGTTTTTAGTATATATATATATATAATTTTTTTTTCTATAAGTGCCCTTTGGATTTTTTCAGGAGATGTTGATTATATAGAAACATTTTTTTTGCGAACGCTAAATCCGGCACCCACTTTAATCTCATTGTTTTTCCTGCTGCTGCAGCTGCAGATGCTGCAGCTGATGTGTCCTTGTACCACAATTGATTCAAATCCTGCGACTTGGAGAAGTTCCTCTGGATATTCCTTTCCTTTCAACAGCTCGAAGCATCGTTGTACCCAATGTAACCTTTGATTTTATTCTCAGAAGAGATTTCAATCTTATAGATTTTAATTTTCTTAAAGTCATTTTCAAGTCCTATATACAACGAAAGCTGAAGTTTATCATACTAATCACAACAGCAAATGTTGCTTGGCATTAAACTGCATTTTTATTTGGATGTCAGTGAGAGCAGTCAACACAAACAGTGTAACGTTATCATGTTGTAAAACTTGGACCTGAAGGCTGCTGCATCACCGTACGCCCGACTGAATTGCTGTTTGGGAAAGGAGAGGCCCTTTAGCATGATCAGATAGCTCTCACAAAGATGGAAGGATGACTTGGGTCTTTGTCAAACCGACAATAGAGTAAATAGATCTTGTGTTTTGTCAATAAACCGACAATTATCCTGAGCTCACCTGGGTTATTGAAGCTAGTTCTGTGTTACCGGTAATCGGATCGTACATTATGGTGTTCGTATTCTTGTAAAGCTGAATTTTTTCAGCATCTGCTTCATGAGGCATAAACCACGACACCTTTTCAGTAAATTTGCATTCCTGAAGATCGCATGTTGTCCGTTTTCATATTTTATTTTTTTATTAGCAAAATCCAAAATTTTTTTATATCATTTTACAGATATAATTTGATTTTTTTACAGAACCCTAAATGGCATTGCGCTGCGCAGCCTGCCAGCATTATTAACATACACGTCCGACAACACATATACTATCAAGGTGTTCTTTAGGAGAGACATTTCCAATACATTGCACAAATTTTGTTTTCGTAGACAAGCTTTATCTTGCCTAAACCACCGTTATAAAGATAATCATTAACCTCTCCCTCAATCTCTTCATCCTGTCTACCTTCTCTTCGGGTAGTTTCAAGACAACACCTCTATGATGCCCATTTACATCTTCAGTTTCAAGGAATTCACACCCTTCAAGGCTGATCCTTGCATTCTTGACAAAAATACATGAATCGCGTGTTTGGTAATCATGACGCTTGAATTCGATAGCCATTTTTTTTTATTATAGATTTGATTTTTCTTTAAGTCAATTTTAGACCAGATCCTTGATTCAATCTTTTGACGAGGTGTTGAATCGCAATCGCCCTCTGTTGCTGCATTCCGCTCCCATCTATTAGTGAATGGATATTCTGATCAACTGGGGATGACTGCTTCGCCGGTGTACCAGCATGCTTTTGTAGAATTACTCGAGATTTGTGTGTAAGAGCTTTACGTGCGAGACCGCGCACTCCTTTCTCAAGGAACTTCTTTCCAGCATCAAGAGCTGCAGTCTTTCCAGCATCCATAGCTTTCTTCCCAACTTCCTTAGCAACGCTTTTACCAGCATCTAGAGCGGTAGAGGCAATCTGTTTCGCAGCATTGCTAGTAAATAATCTAGTGAAAAAACTTGCGACGCTATCAAACATTCCAGCACCGCCATAGACATACTGTCTTCTAAATCCACGATTCTTTGCTATAAACATTATTTTTTATAGTCTAGATATTATTTTTTATATGCATTGACGTCCAGCATCTTTTGTCTTTTTAGTTCATCGCAAATCGATACAAGCTCGTTCCGAACGCCTGTGTTACCCGCTGCCTTGCTTGCCATCAGCAGGTCTAGTCTTTCGAGCAATGCATTAGGATCGCTAGGAATGACAACAGATGTGCCGCTCCCTTCGTAATAATCCCTATTAGTCCAAATGGTTCTAAGCACATTCTTCCATTTCAACCCCTTGCTGGCCTTTGGTCTGTTACTCTCTGGATCGTTGCCTTTTTTGAGAGCGTTCGATTCAATCATCATCTTCGCGTAATTTTCGTAGTCCTGGTCGGTGTATATTTGATCGTCTGGATTCTTGGTTACGATGAGTTCCCACAATCCCGGTGTTCCTTGGTACTCTTCACCATCCACTACTATGTTATCATCTACAAAGGCGACGGGCTTATTGCCTATATAAAAATTGCCGTTCTTATCGTATAGCCCGTACGTTCTATCAGCCTCGGATTTGGAAGCGAACTTCCTTAAATATTCTTGCGCGATTGGTCCGATAAACTGCGTATCAGTATCTTCATTTTGTTGTTGAAACCCCTCTATAGATGGAAACGCTGGAAATGTGATTTTCTTCAATTCCGATATGTTTTCTTTGATGGGTCTAATATCAGACCTTATGTCTTCTGCCGTACTTTTTTGTACGTCCGTTATGGGTTTGAATATTTTACTGAGATCTGTTTGTAACTCTCGTTCACCAGTCCGTCTCTCTATCTCTCTGTTTTGGAGCCTCTTTTTCAGCTCGAGAAACTCTTTTACGATTAAATCCCTTTTCACGGGATCTGTAATCTTTAGAAATGACATTTTTTTGTTTCTAAAGATAATATTTTTTTCATCTCGATTTTCATCTCACTTTTCATCTCACTTTTCATCTCGATTTTCATCTCGATTTTCATCTCACTTTTCATCTCGATTATTTTTCTCGAACAACTTGCGGAAGGACTCGTGGGTTTTCTGCCTTCCCTGTTCGATCAGGGATTGCTGTAGGTCATAGTCCATGTGCTTCTTGGAAACCTTTCTTATTTCTTCCTTCATCTCGCGGTACTTGACCAACTCTGCTAGTATGAGTTGAAATTCCTCATCACTTACTGCATTATCGGCTAGCGCCTTCGAGATGTACGACGATATCGTGTTCAGTTTTGCTTGTGCCAAAACCTTGATCTTTTCGTGCTTTTCGGCTTAGGCCGCACACTTCCTATTCACATATTTTCCGACGATACTCAGAGCTCCGGTAGCAAGCGCAACGCCCTCCATCACGACAACAATCGGTGCTGCTACTACCGTAGATAAAAGGCTAACACCACCGATGCCAAGCCCCATGATGCCGATAAGACCAACATCGACATTATCCACTATCTTCACGGCTCTGTGGTACTTCTTGCTGAGGGTCTCACGCTTTTCTCTTTCTTCCTCGAGAATCCTCTGAATCTCGTTAATTTTCTGTAAACGATAACCTTGTCCCTCATCTTCAGGGGGAGCTGTTGGCAACTTTGGATAAAGCGCCGTATCATTATTCACTTTGTTGATTTCCATATTTTTATATGTGTGAGATTTTTTTGATGTCATATAATGTATGAGACATAGAGGCTCGTTTTCCTCAATGACAACAACCCCGTTCGAATTGTTCGCGATGTTTATCACCACATCATCAACACTTTCGAGAATGGCTTCATTTTGTATACTGCATTGCCTCATTTTAAGGCTTTGCTTTAGTGTCGTTAAAACCATACCACTAGTCATCCTCAATCCAAACCTTAATCTAATCGTTTTATTTTCTTTTGGTCCGATGGTAAGTTTATTTTGATTGAAAATTTCCCACGTTACTGGTTGCACCTTCTGTGGAGGATGTTTTACATCCATTACCGGTATCCAGTAAATCGTCTTCGGCTGTCTTGGCAAGTTATACCAATTTTTCGGTTTTACACCAAATTTGTGAATAGGCATTCTTTTTTTAATATATATATATTTTTTAATATATATATGTTCATGACCACGTATGCATGAAACACTCATGATATTGCACCGAGGATCGGAATGTTGTTGAATGGGCTGTTAGGTCCCAGAATAAGACCCTTCCCATTATACCATCTCCTTTCTTTATTTATATAAGGTCCATCACCAACGGCTTCTAGACCCGAACCGGTCGCGGGTCCTAAATAAAGTCCTTTTCCGTCTGTCTCTATCTGGCAAACACAACCTCCTTTCTTGAGATACAACTCGTTCCCAACCACCTTTTGCACTCCCGAACTAGCCATACCAGAAAGAGCGCCAATGCCTAATGCTGGAAGTACCGTCTTTGCCAAAACAGGCAATGCACGCGCTGCCAAACCAGCAAGCATCCCAAGGAAACCGCCCTCAACTTTCATATTGTGTTTGAGTTGAGCTTTACTCATTTTGATAGTTATTCCTTTACCACCTTCATAGGCTTTGGCTAATCTCTTCACTTGTCTGTCTGTCAGTGCTAAGACATCTTCACCGTTCAAATCTTCGTGACCAAAACGGACACTGACAGGACAATCGTTTTGAAGGGCCTCTCGTAATTTTTGTTTCTGCCCTTCTGAAACATTCAATTTAACATTCGTATATCGTGACATTTTATATATACGAATATTTTTTTATTACACTTGTCTGATGTGAAACCTCAATGATAAATTATCTCCTCTTAAATTTAGCAGCGTGCCATTTTGGTCGGTGAGTGAAGTCTCAAGACTGTGTATGGTGTCTAGTGTCACGGGAAGATACACCAAATTTCGTGGTGTTTCAACTATTTTATGTCCAGGGGTGACATTTGGAAAGAAGGAGTATATCGTGTGTTGTGAAGCTCCATTAACGTAGCTCCCTGAGATATTGTCAACATTAACATGCAAGCTGACAATACTGAGAATGTTGACGACATTTTCAGACTCCTGAAATCCTAGTGCGTAAATGTCGTGGTTAACTCCTAACACACTTGAAATGGAGTTGGGATGCCTAAAGTCTATTTGGTAATTATTATCTTAAATAAGGACAGTCTTTAGTGTGTTCGTGTTTGCAGAAATTGTAACGTAATATTCCTCATTGACACTGCCATAGTGTCCATTCTGCCTCATCTTTTGTTGAATTGTGTCGTTAATGTCATCGATGTTATAGATACCTTCTGGTAAATAAATTTCGAACCATGTTCCGCCATCGGGAGAGTATCTAAAATAATTATTACTCGCATCAATGTTAGGAAAAGAGTAGTAAGTCTCGAGATTGACGAGTGCCATCTCGTGCTTTTTCTTTTTGTCGAGTTGAACTGGTGGATTGAACCTAGTTCTAAATCTTGTCTTGTTGCTATTCAGGACAATCTGAAACGAGGTTTTAGGCTCAGTGTTTTCAGCTATTTTTTCAAGTATTGATTCCATTTTTTTTATAATATAATATTTTTTTAACTCGGAATATAAAATGTATCAAATCCACTTCTGTACTTACCGTTCTGCTTGTTACTGGTCAGGTCGATCACTACGAACCCATGTGGTTTTTCCCATGCTACCTTGCACAGACCTTTGAATTCATCTTTTGACATGTCTTGACTCACATGATCATTATAGATATGGTTGCTATTCTTCAGGTCTTGTGGGAACAAGCAGATAAAGTTTGCATTTTCTCTTATCGTTTGGCGTGGTAGCTTGAAGTAATTTTGTGAAAGGTAGAAACAATCTACATTGCTGTGTCTTCCACGAATATAGTAAGACTCGCATTTATTCTGTTTCTCCAACAGCAAATCATCAAATGTCATTAAATTCTTGTTTTCGGAACTTAAATCATGGGGGTCTGGGACGTCTTCGGCAGATTCGTAAAAGCAGCATTGTATGTCCGACTTGTCTTTCATCTGTTTAGACCATGCCTCAACAAGCGCTGAGGGTGACACATCTGACTTCATTACCTCATCGCGCAGGGCAAACAAGCGCATAATAGCTTCTTTTGGCAATTTCTCTTCAAAAGCTTTCTTGAGGATGCGGTATTCAGGTTGGAATAGACTCTTGCCGAATACTGCTAGCTTGTTATAGTCAAGCCAACCCGGTCTCAGTAAAAGATTGAGCAAAAGTGTGGTTTTACCACACCCCGATTTGCCTACAATCACTCCCCTTATGCTCTTGCAGAAGCTTGTGATTGAACCGTCTTGATACCATTTCATTTCACGATAAATCTTTGACTTCCATATTTTTAATATATTTTTTTTATATATATAAAAAACATAATGTAGTGCCTTAAATGCAAAAGAGCCATTGAAACAAGTGATGTTCAAAACACTGTTTCTAAAAATGGACGAAATATGAAACGGGGTAAATGTGTCGTGTGTGGGACTACAAAAACACAATTTGTAGGCGGATCAATGGTGAATGAAGCCATCAATCATTTACCGTTTGAAATGCATCTCCCGGGACATAATTTTACGGGACCTGGGACTAATCTCGGTAAAAGGCTGAAACCAGACCTCACACCAAAGGAATGGAGTAAACCTATCAACAGGGTTGATAATGTTGCATACCATCATGATGTGTGTTACTTGAAAAACAAGGACACTACTACAAGAAATAGGGTATGTGACAAGAATATGTTAGCTGAACTGGGTGGAATTGTTAACCCTACACTTAGAGAGAGGTTGGATAGATCTATTGTGCACAAGATCATTGGCACTAAGATGAGGTTTGGAATGGGGGTGGGAGGGAAAAAAAGCAGCAGGTTGAGGAGATGAGCTCAACGCCTACAGCACTCAAAGCATTGGCTGAAGAATTACACAGACCCGTGAGAAAAAAGTTTGAGAGAAGGAGGGTACGTGTTAATGGCATCGATGAAATTTGGGCCGCAGATTTGGTAGACATGCAGGCATTCTCGAAATTTAATCGCGGCACCTAGTATCTCCTTGCCGTTATCGACATTTTCTCCAAGTACGGTTGGTTAGTGCCATTAAAAGATAAAACGGGGAAATCGGTCGCAGCTGCACTGAAAAAGATACTCAAGGGGAGGAAACCGAAAAAGATTTGGGTGGATAAGGGCAAAGAGTTTTACAATAAAGACGTGCAGAGTTTAGTCGAGTTATACTCGATTGAAAACGAGGAAAAATCGAGTGTGGTGGAGAGATGGATCAGAACGATGAAGGAAAAAATGTGGAAATATTTTTCCTCCAATTCCACGAGTGTCTACATCAATGTGCTCGACGAACTTGTCGATCAGTACAATAATACGACACACTCGTCAACAACATACACCCACCGAAGCCAGCAAGAAGAAAAATGAAACCCGAGTGTGGATGAATCTATACCCCAACCATGATGAGCCTAGGATAATTCACCCCAAGTTTTCCGTTGGAGACGCCGTGCGGATAAGCAAGAAAAAAAAAACCTTTGAGAAGGGCTATCAACCGAGATGGACGGAAGAAGTATTCACGATAACGGCGGTACAACGCACGTCGCCTGTAACGTATAAGATTAGCGACCAAAACGGAGAAGAAATTCGGGGTACCTTCTACGAACCCGAGGTGCAGAAGACGAGCCAAGAAGTATACAGGATAGAAAAAGTCGTCAAGAAGGGTAAAACGAGGTCGCTGGTCAAGTGGAAGGGTTATCCAGAGACGTTCAATTCATGGGTCAGCAATAAGGAGATAGTCGAGCTTGCGAGGCCGCTCGTTACATTATAGAATGTTTTTTCTTTAAGTCATTTTTAGAAACGTAATTTTTCTTTAAGTCATTTAGACCATGTTTAAACATTGTTGTGGTTGGTTTTGAGCTTGTTGAGTCAGATGTGTTAGTGGTTGGTTTTCAACCCTAATTTGAAAATGC